TAAAAAGCAATAAACGTGAAACTGAAATCTCCAAACGGCCACAAGTATTTGACTGATATGGACGTGGTGTTACAAATAATAGATTTTAGGTATTACCGACCAAGACTGAGAGACGCTAGGATAGGTATTTCTGGCTTATTAGCCGTCGTCAGCTAGCGATACTCAACTCCAGTGTTGCCGCTGAAATTTCTGCTACACACGAATTTCAAACCCGCATCTCTCCGATCAGAGACGAAAGCTCTAAACATTAAGTCGCGAGTCCGTTGTCTTGTCGGGTTTTGATCGTGAGCTTATAATAGTAGGTATTTGTAAACCGATCTGTTTCAGCATGCACCCATCCTGGTTGATGCCTTTTGCGAGCTTGGCACCCCAAGCATGTTGCAAGGTGAATAGTAATGCTACTTACTAAGTTTCAGTAATGTTTTTATTTTAGGTATTACCGACAAAGACAGAGAGACGCTAGGATGGCTATTTCTGGCTCATTAGCCATTTAGCCATTATTGTTGTGGAACTTTGGAGGACGCAGTGTAGGCTGAATTTGTTCAACAGGAACTTTCATGCTTAATTCATGACATTTCCTCTGTTAGGAAATCTAATATAGATGTAAATTTGGGCGATAGTCTGAAAGCCTGCTCCGTACAGGTTTAGGCTAAAAGCATGCAAGCATATCCGAGACGTATTTTGCGTGCACGTTCTTTCGGGACTTCGGTCGTGTTAAGGACTTGAATACGCGGAGGAGTGCATTCTCGAATGGGCATACGGAGTACAAATTTTGGCAAAAGTAGCTTGTCTAGACCCACCTGGATTTTTAAAACCTGAGTCTTCTGTCTTACGGGACTGGTGGGATTGGGGGTTTTTATGGGTGGGGAAAAGAGATGGACGACAAAGGGCCTTTGTAACAATAAGTACAAAAAGTCGTTAAATTTTGTTGGAATAGTTTAATGCGGCAGCAATATAGCGACGGCGTTGGGCGCGTGAATAGAAAAAAGTGCGAAAAACAAATCGACATCGCATGGACCTCGAATCGACGTTGACAAACTTGGAATGTGGAGTTTTATTCCGAAAACTCCCTTTTTCCCAAAACCAAGTAATAATAGACGTTTTGAAATCTTTTTGTAATATTAAGCTTTCATTATTAATAATAAAAAATCCGGTAAAAATATTACTGGACATATGCATGAAAGAGTTATATGTAATGTTCAATATTACAATTCTAAATTTCCGGTGACTGGCTGCTGTGAACAACAGGTTGTGTTGTGGCCGGTCTACTCGAGGGCTAAACTGAAGCAATCCGAATATTCCTTCTAATTCCTTAAGCTAAGGTATGTGTATGTAACTTTGGGGAGTTTTGCTGAAGCTGGCCGAAGTCACTGAGGTACATATTTGTAATATCATCACTAAACCCTAATAGACCAACGACGGACGCGTATAGGTTGGGGGTGGTTAAGTAACCTTGGACGAGGTTATTGATGTACATTTTTAAAATCATCACTAACCCCAAGTGGACCAATGGCGGGCGCGTGTAAGTTGGGGGGATGTTCACTGACGCTGGTTGAGGTCATTGAAACCGTTTTTCCTTTTTTAGGAAAGGTGTTTTTCCTTTGTTAAACGGCAACTGCATGAAAAGCATTTTCGTGTGATCATCAGCAAAGTATCTTAGGCAAACGCTAACGGCGATTATGTAAAGGTAGCGAATGGTATGTGTAGTAATTGCAAGTGCAACCGTTGCTTCTTTTTAGCGAGATAAGCCGCGGCAATGTAATGGTAAGGCTGAGTAGACGAAGAAAGTGAAGAGTAGGCAGCGATATGGTAGCAGGGTTGTCAATGCACGTTGAAGAAGCGGGACGCGATGCGCAGCTACTAGTCTGCCGACTTAAATGAATAGGCATAAATACGCCTACTGAAACTAATATAGTAGTTATGTTAGTGTTTCTTTCCAAAATGAGCCTACCCACGCTACGGTTACCCAATTTTTTTTCACTTGTGCTTAGCGGGCTTATTTCGGTCTTTTTGGATCAGACTGGAACTTCTGTCTGACGGTTCGCGTCGTTGTCTTGTTAGATCAGAAGAGGGCGAACGTTGGCTGCTTATAATAGGCTGTAGCCGAGCTGGCTAATTACAGTAAATTCCCTATTTCATGAAATTTCAACTGAAATTCTGACGTCTGTTTTTGATTCGAAAAATTGTTTAAACATGTTTGGAAGACTGTATAGGCAGCTCTTGGAATGCCTGAAAAAATTATATTCTGTAAAAAGTGGCTACTCAAACAGTATGCATTTTATCATTGATTTTCACAGTCCTTATAAATACAAATATATTTTATGGAAAACATGCACAGAAATATTCTTTTTTTACTCATTTGATAGAAAATTACGCCTACTTCAAATTTTGTACTTGGAGAGGCAGTATCTTTAGGTTTCGGAAAGTTTATACTCATGGGGTTTTTTACGAACGTGAAGTGTGCAATCATAAAGCAACCTATATGTTTATTTATGAATGCTACATATAAGTTATACAACTTGGTCAACATCCATTGCAAATGTTTATGATAAATATGCAACGTCTTCTTCACACCAGAGGAAAATATTTATATTTCCTTTGACAGAATGTTAACAGCATGTATTTTGGAGACCTTGATTTAAAGTATGACGGCTGGCAGTTTTCAAAATTATTCGGCAATTTTGAAACCGTTTCTAAATTCGAAAGATGCCCTCTTCAAATATGCAATTCGAAGAATACATAAGCTGCTACCAAGCGATCAAAATAAAAATAAAAATTCGTGCATTTTTGTATAAAATGTCTTTGAATTTGTAAAGGCAGTGAAAATCAATGAGAAAAGCAAAGGCTACTTAAGTAGCCCTTGTTACAGAATATACTTTAATATGCATAAAGACTCGGTGTCCAGATGTTATCGCGTTCATCGTCTCCCAAAGAAAACGAAGGGCGGGTTCGTGGACCAAATTATATTTGAACTGACGTTTCGGAAGTTCCCACGTCCAGCACGGGTGTAATACGAGATAGACGGCAAGATTGGCTAACTCAAGACCACCAGAGGCAGCAACTTCAGTACTCTGATGATAGAAGCCAGAAAGGTCCCAAACCGTCAGTTCAAATATAATTTGGTCCACGAACCAACCTCTTCTTCTTCTTCTTCTTCTTCTTCTTCTTCTTCTACTTCTTCTTCTTCTTATTCTCTTCTTCTTCTTCTTCTTCTTCTTCTTCTTCTTCTTCTTCTTCTTCTTATTCTTCTTCTTTGGGAGACGATGTACGCGAGAGTATATTTTATATATTGGGAATAGCCTCTATGATTACCTTTATTAAAACCATACCTAATTAATATGTTCGGATCGAAAGCAAATTTCGGAGTTTCGGTTGAAATTTCATGAGATAGGGAATTTACTGCGTGTGCTTCAGCTGCTTATGTGCGATCAGATAGACTAGAGGACACATCAGTTGACTAATTCATAACCGAATTCTCCCCCCCCCGCCCCCTGATATGTCTGTATTCTGATTGGTTCTTATCCCATCTTCCATTCCGCGCGCGCGCACGCCCACCCACAGGACCGACTGGTTCACGGAACTCTATCCGCCAACCCAATGGACCCACTT